AGAGAAATAAAAATACAGTAAAGTAGTAAGATGGTAACATTTGAGGAATCTGGGTTGAGGGTATTCAGGAATTCTTTGTTTTTCTTGCAACTGATGGGTGAAAAATGTATTTTAAAAAAAGTAAAAATAAAAATAATCCCTTAATGGAAAGAATGGACTATTTTTAAAATGGATGTGCCATTGTGTCATTTTCTAGCCATCTGGTCAGGCAACTGGCTTAGTTAAGGGTGGCTTTGGGAGTCCCTTCCATGACACCTAGGAATGATTCAAAAGGGCAGTTCTGATTGGTTGAATGCCAAGGGCACTTCTGAGTGCAGTGAAGAGTTGGTTCAGCACGTTCCGTCGTCCCCAGTCCTCTGCTTGTTCTCAGGTACACTCTCTGCTAAATTGAACAATCCCTTAAAAGATAGATTACATTGCTGCCAACCTTAACCCAGCCTTTTTCTAATTAGCAGATTCAAATTAGGAAGATTTAATTGCAGTTTGAATTAAATTCCATCCCTCAGCAGTGAAGTCAATTCAATTTGATTCCATTCAGCACACATGGAGCTCCGTTGCATACGGCTCAGTAATTTGAATACACACACAGGGTCCAATGAAGCATGTGAGATTGGACAGGTGATAGGAAGGGATTGTCCTGGTCAAATGTCAGGAGGAACAGTGCAGGTGTTAGCTTGTCCCCTGGCTTACTTTCTTGAGCCAAATTTTCTCTTCCTTCTCATTTCAACCATTCTGCCTTCTTGGCCCCTGCTGTCCAAAGAAACAAAGCTGGTCCATGTCTCAGAGTTCTACCTGGGTCTATCCCTGAGCCCCCTCTGCCTATCCAGCCCTCACTTCCCAGGTAGAAAGCTGTTTCCAGTGCAACAGGGGCAGTTTCTCCTCCCTTATAATGAGCTCTGCTCCAGCAAGGGCTGGCCTAGCGATGCTCAGGGATGTTTTGTAATTGTGATCATGCTAACTGCATCCCAACCCTCTTTCCCAGAGAGATCTCTTCTGCCAGGAGATGGGAGCCTGGTAATTGGATTACAGGAAATGCATTGTAGGAGGGGCTACTCTCACCCTCTGCAAGGAGCCTCTGGGGGACGGGGTAGTATGTCTGCAGCAGCCTCTTCCCCCTTTTCTTTACAGAAGTATCAAAAAACATTGAATTCTGCCCTAGGTCATTTGGGAATTCTGCAGCAGGCCTTGTCTAGCCCCAGGTTTAAGGCTGCCCCAGATTTTGCCCTTATTTGGAATGTCTTTGCTTTCCTGAAACAGCTTCTTCAGCTGGGCGTCTTGGCCTGAGCTCTGGTGGGAGCAGCAGCTCTTTGGAGATGAATCTCAAAAATTCCCCATCTCTTTGCCTTGTCCAATAACCTGACCCTGACCTTGAACCACAGCCCCGTATCCCCAGTGTCCCCATCCTAGTCACTCTCCTTCTCTCAGTCCTGGCTTCTCAATCCCAACTCTGACCTTGCAACTCATAGACGAAAGCCTCCTCCTCATGGTCCTAGCCCTATCTAGGCAGAGGTCTCCAGGGACAGGGGACCTGTGAGCAGAGGGTGGGAGGAGCATGAGAGCCTCCCTTGCCTATAGGCAGCCCTGACTTAGCCAAGTCTCCAGAGCTCTTGTAGCCTGAAGTCACCCACAGATGGTGCTGACATTTTGAAGGCCAGTTTCCCGAAGAGAACCTGAGGGTCTGCATAGCAACCAGGGCATGCCATGTTTCAAGAAAATTGATAGAGAAAAAAAAGATTGAGCTGTTTGTTTAGACACAGATGAAAAACAAATGCAGGGAGACAAAGTCCACATACACACAAAAATCTCTACAACATGGTTCTGGGTTAACTCTGTGACTTTAGGCGCACGGGATATTCCTAGGACACCCCCAACCAAAAAACAACCAATCAACCAACCAAATAAACAAAAGTCAAGAACCTCAGTTAACTGTTTCTTTTTTGGCTGTGGCAACAGCAGAAAATGAGGAACGCTGCTTCTTTAGGAGCTGATACCTTCTAGGACGAGTTCCCATCTAAACTGCTTAAGGGCTGGGGAAACTGTGTCCAGCTGACCAAGCCCTTGTCCAGGAAGGATTTTTCTAATGGTTCTATTGTTCTTTTCTTCTTATTTGTAGCTTCTTAAGGTGGCATCTGAAGTAATGATTTGGATCTTTCTTCTTTTCTAATATAAGCATATAAAGCTATGGATTTTTCTTTAAGGAACAGGAATTTCCTAATATCTAGGATGATTTATTTTTTTGACAAATCTTTATAGACAGCATATAGTTGGCTACTGTTTTCCAGTTGACAATCTCTGTTTGTTAAGGGGAATGTTTACCTATGTGGTTGGGATTAAATACACCATCTTACTCTTTGTTTTCTATTTGCCCATTTTAAAATTATTATTTCCTACTCCATGCCTTCTTTTTCATTGGTTGAGTATTTTTAGGGTTAAATATTGGCCTCATAGTCTTACCATTTTATTTTGTTATTATATTTTGTGAACATACTTGGCTTACAATATGCATATTTAGTTTTTTACTTTATCTAAAATAGAATTATACTGTTTTGTATCTAATATAAAACTCTTACAACAGTATACTTTCATTATCCCTTTCCCATCCGTGTTATTCCTTTTGTAGATTTTATCCATATATATGTTATAACCCCTATAAATACATTGCTAGGATTTTTGCTTTAAACCAGGAGTTCAGCAAACTATGACTCGAAGGTCCAGTCTGGCCCACACCTTGTTTTGTAAATAAAGTTTTGTTGGAACACAATTACACCTATTTGTTTACATGCAGTTTGTGGCTGCTTTTGAACTACAATACACATTTGGAGTAATTGTGGCAGAGAAAGTATAATCCTTGAACCCTAAAATACTGTCTATAATCCTTTACAAAAAAAAAATTGCCAATTTTTGCTCTTAATAACCAAACTTCAAAGAAAAGTTTTTAAATGGAGAAAAATCCCCCACACAATTGTCATCTCTGATATTCTTTATTCCTTTGTATAGATTTAAGTTTCTATCTGGTATTGTTTTTCTTCTGTCCATAGATCCTTCTTGAATATTTCTAGTGCAGGTCTACTGGTAGTGCGTTCTCTCAAATTCTGTTTGTCTGAAAATGTCTTATTTCACCTTCATTTTGAAGGATATTTTTGCTGGGTTTTCTAGGTTTGTTTGTTTGTTTTCATTCAGGAGATTAAAGATGTTATTTCATTGTCTTCTGGCTTTCTTTGTTTCTAGTTTATGATAATGAAAAATTTATGATAATTCTTATCCACTTTCTTCTGTGTCTAATAGGTCTTTTTTCCTTGGGTTGGTTTATTTATTTATATATTTGAGATAGGGCCTTACTCTGTTGCCCAAGATGGTCTTGAACTCCTAGGCTCAAGCCTCCCAAGTGGCTCACCACTTGGTCTGGCTCTGGTTTAAAGTTTTTATCTTCACTAATGTTTTCTAGGAATTTGATTATTATGTGCCTTAAGGTGATTTTCTTTGTGTTATTCTGCTCAAAGTCTATTGAACTCTTTGAATCTATGAATTCATCAGATTTGGAATTTTTCAGTCAGTTTTTCTCTAAAATACATTTTTTTAAAATCCTTTACCTTCCATCTTCCCCCTTTGAATTTTACCAACCACTGAGTATTGTCACTGAGAGTGTTAATGTTTCAGTCTTTTTTTTTTTTTGCCTGTGTGCTTTGTTTGATAATATTTTTATCACTGTCTCTAAGTCACTAATCTTTTGTTCTACGGTATCTAACCTGCTGTTAATGCAACCCAGGGAATTTTCTATTTCAAATGTTGCATTTTTTGTCTTTGGACGTTCTATTTAGGTCATTTCCCTCCATATTTCATTTTTCTCTTCCCTGTGTATATGTCTTCATTTACAATTTAAATATGATTAGAATAGCTATTTGAGCATCTTTGTTTGCTATGTCACCATCTTTGTCATTTCTGTGTCTTGGGGTGTTTCTGTGGCTTCATTTTTTCATCTGATTATGAGACATGTTACTCATTTTCAGCCTGTCCAATAATTTTCTATTGAATGATGGACATGATGAATTATATATTGTTGAGTTACTGGATTTGTTTTCTTCATTTGGAGAGTGTTGGACTTTGTTCTGGTGAGCAATACTTGAAGTTCATTTTGATCATTTGGAGGCTTGGTAAGTCTTATTACAGGAGCTCTAGAATATGCCTAGATTAGAGAGTTCTCAAGACTTTCCCTAAAAAAGCTTATCCACAAGCTTCAAAGGCCATCTGGGTCCCCATTGGATGCCCCGAGTGATTCATAGGACTCCGTGCTGATGTGTTAGGACTTGAATGCTTCCCAACCCTGTCTAACTCCTGGGAAAAAAGTATTCCCTATTTCTTCCTATTTCATGTGCGCTCTTTGTTCAACATGATGGGGGTCTGTGCCACATGTACATTATCTTAGTATTCAACAAGGACTCAAGTAAAGACTCTCTGTAGCTTTCTGGAGCTCCTCCTCTCCAAAACACTCTACCACAACTTTCAGGGAGCTCAGCCTCCCTGAAATAGGATCTCTGATCCTCAACTCATGGAGACCACCATGCTCTGCTTAGGGTTCCCTTCCCTGTTCAAGGTCTAGAGGCACCTTCATGTGAAAAGGTAGGGAGGTGGCAGGGCTCACCTTGTTTTCCTTCTTCCAGGGATCACTGCTCTGCGCTGTTTGTTGTAAGTGTCTGAAAACAGATTGCATATATCCTGTCTGGTTTTCTAGTGGTTTATAATAGGAGGGTGCATCTGATTCCTGCTACCCTCACATATGGCTGGAAACAGAAATTTCTTTAATGACTGTCTTTCTCTATCTGTCTGACTGTCTGTCTGTCTAGATAGATAGATAGATAGACAGATATTTAATGCTTTCATTGGAGAAAACAGGCTGTTCTTCCTGGAGAGTTTCCCCTTCTAGATTTTGCTGGTACTCTCTAGAGGTATCACTTAAGATGTCCCCCAGTTTCCTGTAGCCCCTATACATGGGAACCTAAGTCAAGGCTTCAGCAGATACATGTTTGACTCTTATTTCTTAGCGATACTTTGCGGGAAGGTAGTGTGTCTTTCTACCAGAAGGCACCTAATGTCTGGTTGTCTCTTCTTCTGTGATGTTAGCAGTAATTGAAGATCTTTGCCTGGATCTTTTGTTTCTTCAGGGGTGGAAAATGGTGGCAAATAATTCAATCATTCCTTATTCATTTATTTGCTGGGAAACTATTATTAAGGGAAATTTTCCCTCCTCAACTATTCGATTACCCTGAAGTACACTTATTAAGGGGAAAACAAGATAAATGTTTGGTTCTTCCTTTTATTTACTAGTTTCCTAAGTGACGAGTTGGTTCCTTAGCATCCTTCAAAGAGAATCAGTTTTCTTCAGCATCATTTAGTCTTATGGATTCAAATCTGTTTTGGGGTCTTCCATACCTTTTACAATTATAAATTTTTGTTGCTGTTGTTATTGTTTTTCTTTTGGGGTATCAGGGAGTGAACTCAGGGCACTCGACCACTGAGTCACATCCCCTGCCCTGTTTTGTATTTTATTTAGAGACAGGGTCTCACTGAGTTGCTTAGCGCCTCGCTTTTGCTAAGGCTGGCTTTGAACCTGCAATCCTCCTGCGTCAGTCTCAGCTTACAGGCATGTGCTACTGGCTCAGCTATAGTTATTGATATGCCCATGGGAGCTTCTTCTGGGTGATTCATGAATCCTTTTGCCATGACCCTGGTGCCTTTTGATAGCTTTCTTGCCTTCAGTTATGACAAAAGTGTTTTTGTCTCATTTTACATATTTTCTCTATAGACTTGAAATAAAACAAGTCTATAATAAATAAAACATAATTCAAATTAGACATTAGTTCCTCTTGAGTGTAAGTAATTAACCATGTTTAAGTGAAATGAGTTTCCTATACTTTTAGGGAGCAGAAGGCAATGGGCTAGGATAGCTTTTCTGACTGCAGAGCCAGCTATAGAGATTCCTCTCTTTCCTTGTTTTCTCAAAGTGGTAAAAATACGGCTGGCCGCTGTCCTCTCCTCCCCTGGACCTTGTCCTTTCTTTGCTGTGTATTCCTGACACTCTCTGCATTTGGATTTTTCTTTCAATATTTCTCTCAGGGAAGAGTTTAGTTAGGGGTAGGAGGATTGGGCCCTCATTTCAAGGTTTACAGGGCCTGGGCTGCTCCAGCCCCCTCAGAACTGGCAGATCCCCTGGACCTAGTTTCTCCTTCCAAAGAGGGGAGGAGAGCTGGGTGATGGGGAGCTCTGAGCCACCCTGACCGAGTGCTACTGTGTTCCATGACCCTCATGGAACCTGATGGTGCCTCACCCACCCCATGCTGACGGAGGCTGTGTCCCCACAGGGATCTCAGTGTGGACGCTGGCTTGAGTCCTGCTCAGTTCCAGGTGCGGCCCCTCCCGCAGCACTATCAGCATTACCTAGCCACTCCGCGAATGCACCACTTTCCCAGGAACTCCTCCTCCACGCAGATGGTGAGTGCAAGGTCCTGTGGAAATGAACTCTCTGGCTGCCCCCTGGGTGCCGCTGCTGGGCTGAGGCCCGTAGCTCCCCCGTGTCCCTGCTTCCTAGTGCCCTGGTGGTCTGCAGAGGAACACCTGGGGCCGCAAGCAAGGGCGGATTCTGACCCTCATAGGACCTCATTTAATTTCTTGTGGCCCTTTCTCCCTGGGTTTGGTTTTACCTGTCTGTGAAATGGGAATGTGGGTGCCTGCCCTGCCCTGTCTCCCAGGGCTGGCCTGAGGCTCAAGACAGATCCCGGAGGAAGCCCTCAGCCTGGCTTGCTGGTCCAGCTCTGCCTTCCTCCTCAGGGCCAGCCTTCTTGTGACTGCAGAGTACTAAACGCTGCAGAGGATCAGGTTGGGTTTGGGGTTGCAGATTGCAGGGAATGACACCCCACCGAGGCAGCAAGACTGATGGAACCCCGTTTCCAGACAGCTCCACGTTGTTTCTTCCCACCCTTGCCTCTGTCACTGAACCACCTAGCTGAACCAAGATGAACAGTCTCTAAAGTCCGTGGCAACTCTTTATTCTTGAGAATAAAAGAAGAATAAAAGAAGGGAACACTTATGGAGCACTTCCTACATACCAGGCACTTTCCTGAGCATTTATATAACTCATCTTCTATTCTGTCAATCACACAGTGGATATATCCCTATTTGACAGATTGGCAAAATGAGGCCTAGAGTTCCCTGGGTGGAAACTGACTGCTAGCCTGGGTTAAGAAAGGGAGAGTAAGTCAGGCTGAGCAATGACAGGACCAGAGTCTGTTTTTATTTAAAATATTGTTATTTTGCTCAGCATAGACTTTTTTGTGTTCATTTTAACATAAAAAACAATGCATTTCCCTGATGACTGACTTCTTTGTGCCTCACCCTGCTCCTGGGCCTGGCCTGAGCCTTTAACCCACCTGCTGTTCTCAGAGTGGGTGGTGGGGGATTAAACTATGCCACACAAATACCTGAGTTTGAGTCCTGGCTTTGACACTTGGTGCATAATTTGAGCCAATTCCTTAATCTATCTGTGCCTCACTTAACCCATCAGTAAAGTGGGGGTTGCAATTGCACCCACACTTTAGATCAAGGGAGATCATTACATTGGTGTGTCTTGTGAAGGACTTGGAGCATTGCGAGCCATGAAATGGGTGGCCAGTCAGGGTGAGTTGTCATTTTATTGATTGAGCTGGTCTGGGCCGAGATTTCCAACTTGATGAGGTGAGAGACACACAAAAGCAGGAGGAACAGCCCTGCCACCAGCTCACAGCATCTCAGGATTGTGCTGGCCATCAGGATTGGGATGGGCTCATGGAGAAGCTGGAATCCTTTGCTCTGTCTAAGCCATTTTGTCCCTCTACAGGTCGTCCATGAAATCCGCAACTATCCTTACCCCCAGCTTCACTTCCTCGCTCTCCAGGGGCTAAATCCCAGCAGACACACTTCTGCCGTGCGGGAGAGCTATGAGGTTAGTCGCTGCGTCTGGTGCCAACTACCATCCATCGTTCCCTGTCATGCTGGTGGGTAGGTCACGGGTGGAGGAGGCCCCAGGAGAGAGCAAGGAGAGATACTGCAGCCTTCAGCACGAGCTCTGTGAACACTTCCCATTAATGTCTTCCGGTGCCCCTTCCTCATCCCGCGTGGGTCTGTATGTGCTTCTAGGTGCTGAGTCCACCTGTCTATGCTTTCCTCTTTACAGGAGCTGCTGCAGCTGGAGGACAGGTTGGGAAACGTGACCCGGGGAGCTGTGCAGAACACCATTGAGAGGTTCACCTTCCCCCACAAGTACAAGAAGGTGGGGCTGCCAGCAGGCCAGCCTACATGGTCAGGGGGTGGGAGGGGTTTGTCAGTGCGTCCACTCACCCCTGGACTGGTTGTCCAGTGGGGGTGCAGTTCAAAATCCAGAAGCCCTTGCTTTCGTTAGGCGCTCTGAAATTTAAGTGTCAGTGCTGAAGACGCTGGATGTTGGCATAAGCATCTTCTCACGGTAGCATCGGGTTTGTTCATGAACAAATTCAACCACATTTATTGAGTGCCTACTATGAGTCAGACACTGGAAGGTGTATTAATAAGGGATGTGACAATATTTCAGTGACTAAGGGTCTCATTTGTGTGGGGAAATTGGTCCTTCTCTGGAGAGAGGACTTTAAATTATTGGAGAAAGTGGAGGAGAATATGTGGGCATTTGGGGAGCCCGGAGCAGTGTGTGTTCCTGGCACAGGGTGTTCATTTTTGCCAGGGTGACATACCTCACCTGCTATCATTTTAACAGGGCACAAGGAAATAGTGAAAGAATAACAGAGAATGAAAAGAGGAAAGGGATTGAATCAGTGAGACAGAAGGTGCAGGTAAAATTATGGGAGACAGTAAATTAATCAGGACAATTAAGGAGAATCAAAAGAATAAAAATGTTATTTAAAAAAGTAAGAAGAAAAAAAAGTGAGAAATAACAAAGTTTAGGATCCAAATAAAATGCCAAAACAAACAAACAAAAAACACTTTTAAAAACTCAGATTCAGAGTAAAATAATATAAAACAGTATATTTTAAAATAGCAATAATGTAAGAACAAAAAATATAGAAAACATAAACAATCACAATAGAAAAATATGGAAGGAATGGGAACTAGGAAAAGACATAAAAACAATGTGTAAAATTAAAATTAAGAACATCAGAATTAAAAGGAAATGTTAATAAAAGGAGAGGGTAAGGGTGAAAAGGATTAAATAAACACTGAAATAAATAAATGCTGAAAAAAGTTAAAGGTGAAAGTTAGGTAGAGAGTGTGGCACAGTGACACATGCCTGCGATCCCAGCAACTCAGGAGGCTGCAGCAAGAGGATCTCAAGTTGGAGGCCAGCCTCAGCAACTTAGGGAGAGCCTAAGGAACTTAGCAAGATCCTGTCTCAAAATAAAACAGTGGTGAGACACCCTGGGTTCACTCTTTCCCCCCTCCCCGCGAAAAGTTATGTAGGTAATAAAGAGGAAACAAAAATCAGAAGAACAACAACAAAAAAAAGATTAAGAATAGGAAATAAGATTTGAAAGGGAAGACTAGTCTAAAGAAGTAAAGATTAACCACAGCAAAACAGAGTAATATTTAAGGTAAAATTAATACTTAATTTAATAATCTATTAAACTATAAAAAGGGAATCATGAAAATCCATGGAGAACAGCAGAAAATAAGCATGCAGTAATAATAATAATAACAATAACAACAACAATAAGGCATGGTTTTTGGAATCTCTAGATGTCCAAAAGACATGGGTCCTGCAAACAGCTGGACCCATAAGCAGATCATCATGATTCTATTCATATTCAAGATCCACACAAATGTATGCTACAATGGCTATAATTCTGACGAGGAGAAACCTACCTTAGAAGCCCAGCCTGGTTTGCAGGGGCTGTATAGAAGACAGAGAGGCTGAAAGCAGAAGGAATAGAGTTTCTCATGTATCCCAGCAAGGGCACAGGATTCCCCAGACTAAATTAAAATGAGGAGCTCCAGAGCTTAGGACCATGGACTGGAGTAGGAGGACCTGACATTTTGGCTTGGCCCCAAGGTCATTCTCTGGATGGTCTTTGTCTTGTGACTCCAGATTTTTCTTTTTACAAAATAACCTTTAAGTGTGCTTATGGTTTTCTTCCTATGGTTATTATCAGATTATTTCACATTAGAGCAAAGAGATATAAACGTGGAAGGTGGGCTGATTCCATTCACTAGATTCCCTCTTCCCCCAAATATTGATTAAGAGCAATGCTATGCCTTGAACTTGGTTAAATGTAGGTTGGTATATAAAAAAAGGGTAAGCCATTGTCCACGCCATCTGAGAACTTGGAACTTTCTAAAGAGTGAAAAACTATTTTCAAATAATTAGTGAATAATTGAAAATAGAAATATTAAAGTCAATAAGTATGCATAGCGTGTCTGCATGATATCAAACCTTGTCTTAAAGCTAGTGCCTTCTCTAAGTGAACATTCTGGATGGGAAGAGAAATCAATAACACAAAATAGCTGGTAACAATGTGGTACTAATTACAGGAGTTAATCCTAGGGTTGGGAATTTTATCCTCGTCTGTAATGAGAGCAGACCTGAAGGGACTTGGTAAAGAATGACTGGATGAGTGAATGAATGAATGTGCGCAGGAATGAATCACACTAAACCTGAAGGTAGAGGGCAAGCCCGGAGGCAAGAGTCCACACTGGACAAGGTGTGAGAAGTGAACTGTGAGAGCAGAACAGAGTCAGGAAGCTGCTAGGCAGGAGCTGTACCTTCGCAAAGGGTCAATTCACTAGGAACCTGATCCCTTTCCCAACCTGGGCTCCTTGATAGTGCCTGGGACAGTAAAGTCCACTTGGCCTCTTCCTCACGTGGCTCGCACCCTCTCTCTCTATTGCAGCACGTGGGAGGAGATAGGGAAGGAAACTTAAAAAGAGACTGACCCCCCAGGAAGAGGAGGCTGCAAGGGGGAGGAGGCTGTGGGTAAAGGCCAACGGCCATCAGGTGAGTCGGCCCCAGGTAACAGATGCTCCTCTCTTTGCTTGTCATAGAGAAGACCCCAGGATGGCAAGGGCAAGAAGGATGAGGGCGAGGAGTCCGACACAGATGAGAAATGCACAATTTGTCTGTCTATGCTGGAAGATGGAGAAGACGTGAGGTAGGAGGCCCCTTTGATTCTCTCTCCCTCCTCTCACAGGCATTGGTGAGCGGCCACTGCACTGTGTCTGGGGTGAGGGTGCTTCTTTGCAGGTGCGTGTGAGTGTGCCAGGTGTGCTGTAGTGTGCTTCGGAACTGCACTGGGAGGATGGGGCATGGAATGTTCTAGATGTGTTGACGGAGGGTGAGGATGCATGGAGGGAGAGTGTAGAAGAACGGTGCCACGTTTGGCCTGGGGATGGTCTGGGGCCACATCGTGGCTTTGCTTTGGGCTTCATGGAGGAGGGCCTGAGGCTCCCTTCCTAACTTAGCCATAGCCCCACTCTAGGGCAGGGCTCCTGCAAGGCTCCCTCTTTGGCAATTACCTAGTGGTCCTGGGTGTGTCTCCTGGTCCCCTCAACATCCCTCACATCACCTCCTGCTGCAGCCGTTCCCCTCACCCCCACGCTGGTCACCTGGCTTTCCTCCTCTCTTCCAGACGCCTACCCTGTATGCATCTCTTCCACCAACTCTGCGTGGACCAGTGGCTCGCCATGAGCAAGAAATGCCCCATCTGCCGAGTGGACATTGAGACACAACTGGGAGCTGACAGCTGAGGGAGGAGTTAGCCAGTGGACGCCCCATTTCCTTCACCAGGTCCCCCCACGGCCATAGCCCTTGCAGCCAAACTTTGCCTTCTGAGCCATTTGACGTAGAGGAGAAGCCTGCAAGCACATTTCGTGGAAAGAGGAGTTGGTGGTATCCGAGTCCGAGGGAGAGGAGGGGGTGGGGGAGGACCCACCCATCCAGAGTGGCCACTGCCCCCATCCGCCTTGCTGCACAGGAGGGAGGGAGCTGGCCGTGCCCAGAGCAGGGCGGGAGTGGGGGGCCCACGCTGTGGAGAACCCAGATGTGATCCGAGGGTACTAGCTGATAGACCGGCCCCTCAATCCTGTCCTTCGAAGGATTGTACATATACCTCTCGACCACGTAGAAACCATGTAGGGGTCTCTAGCTATTTCTGTGGATGGCAGCCGGAGCATGTTAGCTTAAGAAAAATGTCGTGTGTGGTGCTCTAGTCATCTTGTGGTGGACATGTCGCTATTGCCCAACTTGCACCAAATGTTTCTCATTGAGTTTCTTGTTTTGGTGCCTGACTGAACCAACCAACGACAGCCCCAATCTTCCCGTCTTTATGAGAGAAAGGAAAAAGGAATCAAAGGTGAAAAGAAAAAAAAAAAAGAAAGAAAAGCCAAATCCTGTTTACGGTGAAAAAGGATGATTTTTTTTTTTTCACCCAGTTGGGAGGTGGGAGGGGGGTTCTCGTTCTGTTGTTTTTGTTTTCTCCTTGGCTTTTGATTTTCTCATGTTTACAGTGCACGGAGTGTGGAAGGGGCATCCGGGCAGGAGAGGACTGGACAAAGAGCAGATGGGGGTCTTCGAGGGGTTTCCCAGGGGTTCAGGCCAGGTGAGGAAGGTAGAGCCCAGCAGGAGAAGGGGGGAAGTCTGTCCTGAGGGAGGGCTTCCAGTTCTAGGGCTCACCTCTTAGCCCGGCCATCCCCGCCCTCCCTGCATTCCACACTGAACCAGGGTGGACTTGACCTCCAGTTACCACGGCCTCAGTGTTCCCCAGGACAGGGGCCCCCTGCTCACTCCAGCTTCTTTCTTTAGATTAGGCTCTTGTCCTGTCACAAAGAGGCAATGTAGCCACTGCCTCCCTATGCAAAAAATTAACCAGATGATGCAGATCAAATAGCATAGGCAATGGACACTTGACCTTGGCCAAAACGCTCCCAGCTAGCATAGCACCCAGAGCTGAGGTCCAGCACCACGGACCTGAGGAGGAACTTGAGCTTTCTTTGGGATGTTTCAAGTCCTGATCACTTCCTCAGAGATGGCCCTGGCTCTGAGACCACTTTGGCTGGGTGTGGGAGGTCCTATGTCCCTAACCTCTGGCTCCTTCTCTGAATCTTAGATAACCGTGGGCAAGCCCCTTTCTTCCTCTGTGCCTCAGTTTCCTTCTCCTTCCAGTGGGGAGAAACAACAGTGTATCCCCTTTCCACTCCCTCTACCTCACCTAGATGTCCTGAGGATTAATATCTCTGTCCACCATCTTCTGCATTCTCTGTTCTCTCCTGGGAACTTCTTAGGGTTTGGGGTCGGGGGTGCCAGAAGAGACAGATCTGGAAGCTCCAAGTGACCTCCCAGTGGTCTTTGTGTATCATCCCACAATTTTTCTGACCCCACCCCCAAAGGAACAGAGAGATAGGAGGATAGAAGACTAGAGATGGGGAAATCCATCAAATTCCAACCCAAACCCAACTCTCTATCCATATGTGGAAAACACCAGATCCATTGGAATTCTGTGACTTTCCTCTGCCCCTCCTCCTCCTCCTTCCCCGCCCCTCCCCCATTCTCCTCATTTGCACTGCTTTCAAAGCCTCCCTCACCTCAACCCGTAGCCCACTCTCAATGCCCTCATATTAAAAAAAACTAAGGGACAGGACACTCATCACATAAATGAAGAAATTCCATGCAGTTAAGGATATTTGAATCTATGTTGCTGCTGTCAGGGGTAACTGGACCAGTGGGTGACAATGACAGGGAGACTGATTTTAGCTTGAGGTAGAACCTTCTAACACCATTGCACCATCTGGAGCAAAGGCTACTCTGGACACCCCGGGACAGAGTTGGGGAAGCAGCTCCCTAGGGATGTCACTCCAGAATCTTATCCAGACAAAGGTCTCTCCCAGCACCAATCTTCTGGTGTCCCATACAATCTCTGTTGAGTGCCTACCGGTGCAGGTGCTGGGAAAGATGAGAGCTAAGAAGACAACGTCCCTGCCTGAAGGAGCTTACAGTCGAAGACCAGACAGGACACGTCCAATAGTGCAAGAAACAGTGAAGAGTTCAAGATTCAGGGTCAGCAGTGATGGGCATTGGGTCGTCCGGGGCAGTGATTGCAGTGTGTGAAGTGTCTCCAGGACAAGGCTGGACATCCCACTGGTGGGGAAGGACACTGGAGATACTGCTTACTCATAGCCACAGGGAGTTGGGAATTTTCTCCCCTCCTCCCCAATGCCTGGGTCAAAACCAAGAATTCATCAGAAGGCGGCTCTGGAATGGAGATCACCAGGGTGGACTGGGTAGGGTAGGCGAGTCCTCTCCTGGGTCAGTCTTTTCTTCTTTCCCTGAGGCAGGTCTGGAAGGCTAGCAGGGGAAGGGAATCTGTGGGGGAACTGGGGTTGAAGTAGAGCTCATATTCCAGGTTCTAGTCCTGGCTCCTCACTGATAAACTGGTTGATGCTGGAACCCTCCTCCTGTGTCTCTCTGCACCTGTTTCCCCAGTTATGACACAGGAGAGCTGGAGTGGATGCTTGCTAGAATTTCTCCCAACACTCACATTCTATGATCCCCCAACATCAACACATCATTCAAGTCAGAGCTGTGTGCTGACCGGGCCATTGAAAAGGACTTCTGCGGGCATGAACATTCATTTCAGAGGCTGAGGGTACACACGTTGAGTAAGAGACTGGGACCTGGTCCCCTCCTCCCTCCTATTCTCTGCAGGCTCTCCAAGTGCCCCAGGCTACAGGGACTGGGCTGGGGAGGGAGTAGATCCTGAAGCTCCCTCCCCTCCCCATCTCTCTGGGATCCTTGTATCCTGCAGGTAGGGACAGGAGAGAGGGGACAGTCACTCTGAGCCCTCCTGGCTCCTGTTTCCTTAGCAGAGAAGCCAATTGGGTGAGAAGAGCAGGTGCCAGCTTCTGCTCCCTCGAGCCCCCCCAACCCCAGCTGGCCCGGGAGCCTGGGAAGAGCGGAGAGGAGGCAGGTTCAGGCCTCAGCATCTCACACCCACCACCTCCAGGAGGGAGACACCTATAGTCCTCCTGCTCAACTCAAGGGACTCAGACCCTTTCCTGACTGAGACGCATGAGTGCCTTCTGGGGCAAGAGCAGCCCCAGGGTTCAAGTTGGGCCTCCAAACCGCAGCCATGGCTGCAGCGGGTCCACCGAGGACACTAATCAATCAACCCAACGCCACGAGCCACTGGGCGCAGCAGAGGGTGGGCAGGGGCCACAGTGTCCTCCACCCAGCCAGGACCCCCGGCCCTGTCGCCCTCGCCCACCACCTGTGGCGGGACTCAGGCTCTCTTCTGCAAAGGCTCTCAGCCTCCGAGCAAGTATTCTTAACTCTTTACGCCTAACGAACAAGCACAGTTTTTTCAATGGTGAAGAAAAAGCACCAGATTTTTTTTTCCCCCTGAAGAAATCCCCAAGCCCCCCGCCCGCTGGCGGGACCAACACTCCCCGTGTGGGGCTGTAGCAACGTCTGTCAGGTCCCCTCGTGTTTCATCTCCTGCGCGCGTAGAGCAAATGCTAGAGCGATTTCAGCTGATAGAAAAACAAAAATGAAAAAAAACAAAAAAACAAAAAAAAAATATGGCACGTTGCTAGTTTACAGGGTTTTGTGAGTTTAAATGCCTTATATTTAACAATCATAATTTATGACTAACTTGTAGATATCGTGGGTTCTTATTTAATTATTTTTATAGTTGTTTTGCATTTTTAATTATAATTTATTTATTTAGAAAGGATACTAATTTTTTTTATTACTCCTATTACCTCATTTCGGCGTTGTTTTTGGGAGTGGAATGCTTTGCATGCATTGGTACGATGACAAACAACTACGAATACAAAAAAAAAAAATTAAATAAAATTCCGCGAACTTTATTTCGTCCAAACTATCAGGGTGTGTGATTGCAAGCTGTCCTACTGTGGTGCTGGCCTCTTTGGATACATTCCATACGAAATGCAAACCTTTGATTCTGTATGCTGTGACTTAGTGAAAAACTCCAATATAGTGACTGTATTTAGCACATATATAAATATAATTTGCACTCGTCAGCAGACTGGGGTAATCCTTTCACTTGCTACCCTTGGCACCCTCGCCCCGACCCCTCCACCCCTGCAATTAACCTGCTTTTCTTTCTTCCTTCCCGCTTCTTACAGCCTCAGTCCACCCAGGCTTCATCCCCTGAAGGAGGTCTCTGGGCTCTAGAAGTCACTGTCTCCACTTGGGCTCCACCTTTCTAAGGTTCCAGAATTGGAGCCCTTGGTACATTGCCAGCAGGAGTGTAAGAAAATTGAAAGTCTGACTCATTACAAGAGCCTGGATAGCGGGGCCAGGAGGCTTGGGTTTTCGGATCAGCTCCATTGTGGTCTTCCCTTGACTGTGAGCCAGTCCTTGACCTCCCGAGTCAGTTTTTCTGTGCTAGGGAAGGGAGGCGAAAGGAGTGGGAATCTCTAGGATGCCTCTGATTCAGATAGAATATGACACAGATCTGGGGATGGGGGACCTATCTCGCCCTCTCAGGAAAAAAAGGAAAAGAGAAAGATGGAGGGAAGGAGAGGAAAGAAAAGGAGAAGAGAGGGAACGGATGGAGGATTTAGCCCGTAGATTTGCCCAGAACAGAGGTCCACAAAGGTTTCTGTCCTTTTAAGTGCAACATCCGGAGGGCGACAGGGAGGTAAATTAGGTGGACACATTCCTGGATATGGGACATGGCCTTTCACGAGTTTGGCAGGTCATTGGGAGAGTAAGCTAAAGTCCATGCCCTGTTAGGTTTAGGGATGTGATAGGTAGAAGTCCCAGACTCTGGTGTTGGGGGTTGGCACTCCTGTCCTGTCATCTCTAGGAGCCTTTGTGACTGGGACATCACCCACCAATAACTGCCTGGGACACAGTTTGGACTGTGGTCTCTCCTCTCAGTATCTCCCCTGGGCCTGCCCCTGGACCATGGGTGTGGGCAGGAGGCTGCTAGGGAGGATAAGGGGTGGGACTCCAGTGTCACTGCCCCAGAGAGAAGTGATAGGAGGGAGGCCTGGGGAAACAATGGCATCAACAGCTGGCACAGTGCTGAGCCCAGGTGTCTTTGAGCCAAAAGGGGAGAGGAGGTCCAGGCCTCTGGGAGCAGCCTTTGAGTGGGCTGGCACCTGCCCCATGCCCTTCCTCTCTCTCTCCTCCTCCTCTTCCTTTCCAGCTTGCCTTCCCTCTTGGCTCTTGCCATCACTGCCTTTGCCTGGTGGGGACTCCCCTCCACAAGAGGCCCCATGGGGATGGATGGTGCTGACTTGGGGGAGGAAGTGGACACCTAGAGTTGCCACCCTGTCTGGTTAGGCTTGCCCAAGTGGCCAGATGGGGCATGGCCGCTAAACCCATCTTTGCTCTGGT